TGATTTACAGCCTTTTTCTTTTCCATATATATGGTTTTCTTTGAAATCACTTACATTGCTTATTGAAAGTGATTCTGAAGATGGTGCGGTATAGTCTGTTGACTTATCTGAAACTTTGGTCAAAAATACATGCATAAGTCACAAAACATCATCACAGTGTTTTAGTCCAATTCAGAATTACGCTACTCTTGATTGATCGAACAAACGAAATGTTTGAAATGGGAATTGCATTATTACTCAAATAAACCAGAGTTTCTAAACGTGCACTACAATTATTCGTAGATAGCTGCGCTATTTGTGATGGGCTACAATGATATTATGATTTGGTTTATTACCATTCATTGGTATCAATTTAGATACCGTATTTAATAAAAAACAAGCATAGCAAACTCATTTAGTCACCTCCTGGCACAGCTTTCTCGAATCACTACCCGCATTTCCGTCTGCCAAGTTCTGAAACGTAGGCCATCTCGGAGAGTCACCTACATGTGAACAAAAAATACAGCCCAGTAAATAACTAGATGAAGATGGTAAAATAACACAGGGATATGTGCCAAATCACAAAACAAAATTGCTAGCAATGCAATTCTTCAAAACTGTTTTCCGAAGATAAAATATTCTAATCTAATATGAAGCGGTGTATTAGATATTTTTATTTACACCAAGCTATACAAACATATACTGAGTGGCGTCAACCACCGCTTCTCGTATCTCCTTCTGTTTCGAAAATTCATTGAATTTTCACAATCTTCGTTTGTATTTTCATCTGGATTTAGAAATCCTTCTGAATTACACACTCTTACAAACGCAAACCAAGTCGTAGCATTATTTTGATGGTCAGATCAGAACTACGACCAGTAAGAGCATAACAGTATCAGTAGTCTATATTTTGACCATCTGGATTACGTGAAAAATCTCAACACCAAAAATATAGTAACCCTAATATGAAAAATCGTTATGACTAATCACCTTATCCGATGAGTGATGATTTCCAGCAGCATTCCTCGGTGACGTTGAAAACCTTGTTTCAAGTTATTATGACTCGGCTTCAACTCACTGGGTAACTGATAACACCTGACACAAAAGACTTGGATCTCTTCTCCAAACACAACTGTTCTATTTTATCTAAATTTCTGCAATCACGCACTCATGAAGATCCCAATCCCCTCACGGCGTCCAGGTTACTTGCGAACAAAACGGCAAACGTGGTAAAGTTCTCGGCGAACCCGACAGTTTTACTATTGCGACACAAAGCCTCTTTAGTACGGAGTTGTGAATTGAGGTCCTTTTCAGTTTATTGAGCTTATATTGCAAAAAACAGAACGGACGATCTTCATGTTCTGCCTGGTTATTGTATCAAAATTATCAAACCTACTCTCCAAAAATCGTAAAAACATATACCGAAAAATTAAAAGATTTTTGCATAAACAAAATGTCCACTTTATGTACGAAAATTAAACCCGTTGATTATAAACCAGCAGAACTTGTTCCCTTAAAGTTGGCGAAAATGTGCAGATATTTAAAAAATATTGAAAGTACATATTATTTTTGATACTGTTTTATCAGAGAAAAAGAGATTTCAGCAAAATATCGCAAAACGTTTTAATTATGGAACGTGGAATAATTAAGCGGACAGGAAAATGTCTACCCAATTTTTCCGTCTACATAACTGTCGCTTTTTTAGCGCGGTATGTCTACTTAACTACCGTATTAGATATATATATATTCTATTGTATATTATATATATAATATCTATATATATATATATATGCTTTTGGGCAGCGCTAGATCAACCATTAAGCAAAAAAGCACGTGTTTAGGGCACCAAGCAAGGAGGGGAATCACAGAAATTTTTAAAGCAAAATCTTCGACAGTGCATCGGTGTTTGATAAATTTTACGAGTTGGTCACACGACTCAGACTTCGAAATGTTCGCTTATTTTTCATCTTCAAGTAGGGGAGGTGGCACAGTGAAAAATCAGCTATCACACGCGTACTATAGTCGACATCCGGTCTGCGGTCCGATGTTTGAATCCGCCCTTCGGTGAGTTACAACGCAAACGGACAACGGCCGTGTAGAGCGACGCAAGCTGTACGAGGTTAAATTGGTTTTGGGGGGTTGAAACTAAAATTTAACCATTCCGTTTTTTTTTTCTACTTTTGGCTTTCTAACTTGACAAACCACCGTCTAATATTATTATTCAGCGTTAATCCACTATAAAATTCATAACGTTGGCGAGTAGATGTGCATTCCTGATTTTGGCGTGGGACAGCCTGAAATATTTGCCTCCTATGGGGAACAATGGATCGGGGGTTCAGTGGGACATGCTCCACTGATCATAATTAGGCAGAGTTTGATTTATTAAGTGCTTAGAGGTCTATTTATGCATTATGTTTTGTGTAATATTATGGTATATTTCGGCCCATGGCCCAATATGGAATTTAATCAAGTCAACACCGCCCAGACTCTCGAGAATCAGTACGTTCAATCCCAAACCTTGGCAGCGCCAAACTTGCATTTGTTACGTAATAAAATGCTCTATGACATAGTTTCTTAAAGTGTTCCGTACGGAGTCCCAGGGATCCGCGAGAGAAACCCAGGGGCTCCGCGAGCTATTCAAAACTGGAATTGAAAATTTCCGCGCAACATTCTTCGCGATTGAAAAAATGGATAACGAGATTTTTGTTGCGTGAAATATTCAATCCATGACCAATGCAAGCATTAAAAGTGTCTTGTCGTAATATTTTAATTGTGCTCATCGTTATTCACGTTCAATTCGAGATTACTATTAGTGGGATTACTAAAATGAAAGATTACTATTCTAAAATAACATAAAATACGTGATAAACTGCCAACTATAAATAAATTGGAGTCGTATTTTTACGATCTTGGGATTTGTCAAAATTGATTTGTTCCTTCGCACTCGAGATTATTTTTAAGCAAGATATCGCCGTTTAACAGAATCACAAGGTTTGGGCAAAATACGAACGATTGAAATTTATTTTGTGCAAGCGGCTCCGTCGGCAGTTTCAGTATGAAAAAAGGGAAATTCGCGCGCACAATTAACTGTGTTTCGATTTCGCAGTTACTACGATGAAAAACCAAAGAAAACCTAACATAATACCAAATTTTTGTGATTTAAAATGCCTAAAAAAGCGTTTTTAATCTGACGAGAGTCTGCTGAAACCAAACTTATAGTGTGATCTTCCATTTTAAGTTTTAATATTTTAGAATGCCGTTTTTCAATCAAAAAATTTGAGTTGCGCATTTACCTCTTTATTAATTATTATTTTTAGCATTTCGTCGCCGATGACTATAATATGGTAACATGTTTTGCACATTGAACTCATAATTCCCCACGAGAACAAAAAAGCAATTATCGTTGTCATTGTGGAACAATACATGTATATGCCGAAGGAAATTTTTGATTTGGGAGAATAAACACGACTGACGGCCGTAACGATGTTAAAAACACGTCCATGCTGACCGGAAAAACAATTAGGCGATTGTTAACAAAATGCAATCGCAGCACAGTAATTAGCCGACCGTTCAGAGGTCTAGTCCGAAAATGTTAAAATGGGAAAAGATTTCCACCCCTAATTTATTAATGTTTGTCAGTGTCCAATTTACAGCTTTAATATATATAATTTATCTTTGAAATTTAGATTTATTTATGACTTGTATTACCCCGATTAAAAACGGTTTAGCATTTAAATTAAGTAAAAGTACTTTTGACTTACTCAGGAATATTAATCGGAGAGTAACAATTTAAAATTTCTTTTGGGCTCCATGCATAATAGTCACCCTTTTCAAAAGCTCCGCCACACCAGAATCCCTTGAGAACCCCTGCTCTATGGGCTTGCCCAGACTCAAATACTGTATGTATATATCATTTGATGCGCATGCAGTCTACCGTACTGTATTATACCTGTTTGAAAAACACAAAAATATGAGCTGTATGGAACAAAATCCAGTCAGTTTTTAGAAGTATGATTTTAAATTCACTCTACATCAGACGCAACGTGGCGGTCGACGTGTTGGTTGGTTTATTCTACACCTGGTTTATTGTATATTTTGAACGACACATATGGGGGCACCAAAATCTCAAGTGCTTAGGGCACCAAATGAGCATGATTCGCTCCTGCTTTTTGGGACCGAATTCGCAATGATATAAATATCATTAATTCTTCGAAACGTCTGCGGTTTTTCGTGAAATGCATGAACATGAGAAACGTTGAAGATACTGATGCTTTTCTTTTAAAATGAAAATACACATTTGTATTTGATATAGCTAGATAAGTAGACACTGATACTTGAGGGGCTACTATTAATTCCACATTGTTTACACAGTATTGCTCGGTAAATAGTCAAAGTGAACCTATCGATGTTTTACAAAATTGATTTTTTATCTTTTCTTAGACTACTGCAACAATACTGTTCAAACTTTTAACAGTTAGGAAATTGAAGATACTCCTGCAATGACATTACTTTTATCATCATTAATTTTATTTTCAATTTTTTTCCTATTTTCTCTGAACTATTTCGAAATCTTAATTTTACCACAATTTTTTGTCGGTCAACTAATTTCAGCGAGCGAGGGATCAAGAATATTAGAATAAATATAGCCTATCAACAACATAATTTTCAATTTGCATTTTCATGATTCTGGCGAGTATTAATTATTTTCTGCGCTGACAGTATTTGAAAGATGAAAACGATAAAGACTTACAATAACCTACGAAATCTTATTGTGATCTTACTCACTCCCGAAACGAAAAAATGTTTGCGGATAAATCGATTGAAAAAAATGGATTTGTAATAAGTCTACCGCGACTTTCTGCTGTTAGCGTGCGCAATTCAAAAATGTGTGCGAACCACTGTGATATAGATAGTCTGATGGCACCTTCAACATGGCCTGTAAGACATAACCCCTAATAATTTCTGATATAACTTCAAGACAAAAATCTGATCTGCCGAGAACGAACAAAATATTAAACAAATGGAATCAAAATCTCATTTATTTATAGTTGAAGGCAGAAAATAAGCTAATTCGAAATAGCACGATGGATAAAAGGAAAACAGCATCAAATTAATCACAGCATATAACGAGAACATGAATAGGGGGATATATGTAGGCCAAGTACAGTAATGACAAATTCAACAAAAAAATCATATACATGGCACCAGACTGTTTAAAAAGTGCAAAAATATTTCAGCAGAAATACGAAACGCCATGGTTGTACAGAATTTCTGCAACAAATAAGCAAACAAAATTACAAGTTCGTGTCAAATACAGCATTCACGGTGCTTTGAAGTTACTTCTGTGAGAATATCATAGATAAAATATAAACTGTTAGGTTTTGCGCCGACGGTATGCTTCTTTTGAGCATGCATAGTTCTTAAAATTTTACTCTAACCTGTAAGGACGTTGACGTGATAATCGTTGTCTAGCACGTGAAACTGTACTTTCGTTATTGCTCAGGTTGTCCCCGAACGAGTATAACCGGCAAATGTAAATAAATAGTCATTCCGCGTTGATAGCGGAACTGAAGAAATGGTAATGGAGTCAAATCATCATCAAATCTTTCAGATCATAGTGGCAATTTACCATGAATATGTGTCAGTGCAAAATAAGAAGAATTGACCATGCAAAAATCTACTACACGGAACGCCATGGCCGCTATATTTCATCAAATTTGATTTTCTTTCAATTAGAGCCCTACGAAATCATTTTCAATTCATTTATCACATAAAACCAGGCAAATTAAAACAAAAATAGCTAAATCTAGTCATTAGCTATATTTAGAAATCGCTGATGTTGGGATAGGTTGGCGACTGAAGGTAAAACGGTAATCGATGTTGTGAATGAAGAAGTAAAATAATATTTGAGACGTACGTATGCAACTATAAGTTTGCCTAGAATAAAATTTGAAGTCTATCAAAATATGACATTTCGAAAATGGACACGTTACCCAAACTTTAAAAAATGGACATGCATAAGGAAATTTAGCAAAGGCCAATTGAAAAACCCAAATGGGTAACTGTTAGCGCGCCTGCTAACAATCACCACCTGTACTGTAGCAAGAACTGTTCGAGGTTAATCTAACGAGAGCGTCCTCGTCACCAAGAAATGTGCTGGGTGTTTGGTTCGTCGGCAATTGTCCGTTTTCTGCATGTGTGCTCAACGACGTATAGGGCTGAAAAGTATGAAAAATTGATATAGGTTGGAATTGAATTCCGTTACCACATTTGGCTTTGTACAGAAAGGAGAGGATGAAAAGCACAAACATTAGGAAAATCAGCTCGCCTGTTGTTTCAGCGGTCAACACTAAGAATAATTTTTCCGCAAAACAACATGAACACAATCTCCCCTAACATAAAAATTGCAACAAACAACCTAGCAATTGATCCATTGGTTCACAAGTGTCCAATAATCAATTTTAATACAATTTTTGAATGGACGTAATATCAATATGCAGAGGGAGCATAATAGGCTAAGTCTAAATAGGGCTATTCAATTATTAGGAAGGTTTTATTACCCGAAATGACGTTTTGTTACGATGCTCGACTGTATTTCAGATTTCAGGAGAGTTGGGAGAATGGATAGTTATGAAGCAAGTAAAACTGAACAGCGAGTATATGCTGACTTGTAGTCAGTCATGATGTATGTCTCACCTTTTCTATCGAACTTTTATTCGCTTTTTGTCGTTTCAAATTTTCTTTGATAAGTGCTAAAATAAACAAAACATTAAATAAAAACAATGACATTTAATTTCTACACAACATATTTCTTCGACATGGTGGCATTGAATGAACGAATGTTACAAATTGGCTAACAGGGCGCAGTGTAATCCATAAATTGTAGCATTTCGAAAAACAAAAATTACACTGAGAAAAGTTCACCGAGTGTAGAATACTAACAAACCGTTGCATAATTATGGATTGAATTATGCGAAGAATATATTCAGTTATAAACCGCTGTTTACAAACGGGCATGATTCCCCAGAGTGCGGGAAACTAGCATCGCTGTTATGCAATAATACTAAACGCCCAACCGGATATATCAGTTTCACAGCGGCGTCAGTAAGCGGAAACATTTCGGCGTCGTTCCTCGTTTCAAGAATGTATAATAGTAATTATATCAATATTATATCTATAACTAGTTTTAATCAAATGGGTAAGGATGGATACGATCAAAGTCTTCACGTTTATTGGACTCATATTTACTGGTGTTTTGAGCAGGAGCTTGAAGAAGTGCGAAGATCCGATAGAACTTTTGTCTATCGATAACGGTCATGTCGTGAATTACACATTGACAGAAGATTTTGCAGAATTAACAATTCAATGTGATGAATGGTATGAAATAGTAGCTGGTGGTGAAAAGTGGAAATGTGGAGACGACGGGATATGGCGAACGGCTGTTTTAGATAAGCCGAACCCTCCCAAGAATTTACCAATATGTGCTCCAGCGTGTGGTATAAAAGGCGGAACAGACAGATCTTTGTTGTCGATGCATATATCTGGAGGCGAAAGGTCAGCCGAAAACGAATGGCCGTGGCTCGTGTTTTTAAACGGTGGAGAAGATCCGAATTTGGAGTCCAACCACCTCACGTGTGGTGGAAGTTTGATAAACCAGGACTACGTACTTACAGCAGCGCATTGTGTTGTCCACGAAGACTACCCAGAAGGACTAATGTTTGCAAATCACATTCATATATGGTTAGGCGTACACGATAGGAAAGAGAAAAACTATGAACAAGTGAATTACGTTTTGGCAGAAAAAGTGATAAAACATCCAAAATTTCGGACAGAAATTTTCGGTAACTATGATGTCGCATTGGTGAAGCTTTCTGAAAGTGTAGCTATGACTGCGAGGTATCGACCTATATGCCTTCCATCAACTGAAGAAGATTTTAAAATGATACATCCGGGATCTACGGGAGAAATTGCTGGTTGGGGACTCTACAGCGGTTTCAATGCCGCTTACACCTTATTTCATGCCGAATTCCCTGTAGTAGGTGGAGACGAATGCCTCGCCGAATTGAAATCAGTCAGTGAAGAGAAGAACCTTAGATTACCTGAAGATTTTGTTATCACGGACAATATGTTTTGCGCTGGATTGCCGAAAGGAGGCGCGGGTACCTGCGAAGGCGATTCCGGTGGACCATTTGTCATGAAGAAGGAAAAAAACGGAAGATATTACGCTGTAGGTTTGGTTTCATTTGGACTCGGTAATGCTTGTGGTGAAACCTTCACTTACACAGGATACACAAAACTGAATGAAGAAATTTTAAATTGGGTTCGGCAAACTATGGCATCCACTTGATATAATAATGACAAGAATAATGACAAAATAGTCATAGGATCGATAATAATTCAAACACTAGTATAGCAACTAGCAAGGCAACTATTTATTCAAGTATTGTGCTGGGAGTATGGTGTAGTTATATTCCAATAAAACTGTAATTAATAAACAAGACTATAGTGATTTATGGAATTGATATTGAGAATATAATCGATAATCACGTTATGAAAATAATTTATATATATATATATATATACAAGAGTAAATTCACTGCGAGACGCGTTAACATGTAGTTTTCAGTTTGCGAATATCGAAGTTCATTTCCGCTGGTTGTTGGAGGGTTTTTATTCCATATCCTACATTATACCACAAATGGCAAAACAAAACTATTGAATTGGATATTTAGTATGCACATGAATAAATTCATTTACGGCTTATTGTGGTATTTGTAAATTAATCCCGCAAACAAGATTTCCAGTTTTAAACTATTAATAACGGTGGTCTAGTACGATCGGGTGAACTATGCAGGATATCTACATGGGAACATCCCATCTGTATTATATACAACAATAAATAATAGATATAAATTCACGAGTTCGATTCTTATACAAGGATAATTTACCATTTTATTTACTTATTTATGATCGCTCACAGACCATACGTAACAACTATGCGGTAAAATGTCAGAATTGACACATAGTCGAATGGAAACAATTTAGGTTTTTTTAATAATGGTTAGTAAAACGGAAAATACATATCATACCTGTTAACACCGTGCCCACTAACAGTGCAATAGACATAAATAAATTTGCTGTTAAAATGCTGCTTTTCATTAATTCACCGGCTGCCAAAGTGAACAGGATACCAAAGAACTGAAAAAAATTATCAAAAATTTGTCAGTTGTGCTAATGAAACTCGGCGGCAATAAAATCGTTCATTTGTGATTGCTTGTACAGAGAGTTGTTGAGAGTGAAAAGCGGTTGAACACGAACACCACTTGCGGACAACATTTATATATATAGATGATGGTACCTTAATACCATATTAAAACAGCTGCAAAATACTTACGATGTGCCTACCACAACATTTACCATAAAATACTAGGTAGCGTGCTTTTCAGATTTGTAAGTTTTTATCGAAAATGGGTTTACAACTACCTCAATCCAAACTTGTTTTTTTCAGAATAACTTTGTCTTCACTTCGATGATCGTAACTCTTTTTTAGCCGAATATGTTATTCGTGGTAAGCGAAAGAACGTACTAAGCACGAAATGGGAGTTAGTATCTTAGTTATAATCCCACTTAACGCAAATCGATTTTGCGTGAACGACGAGCAATAATGGGTCCCACAAGTCTTCAAACTTTTTTGTGCTTCTTACTAATTATTTGTGCACCAAAACCTATTGAGTACAGACTTTGGTCAATTGTATGAACGACTTAGTAAACGCTTTTTATCGAGCATTTCTATCAGGCTTGAAAATATTTACCAAAATACCTCGATGGTAAACAATTTAATCAAGAAAACCGAGTTGTACAAATAATTTTAGTTACGATACAAAGTACTTGGCAAATTATCTTATCCACAAACTAGATAAGATATAATTAACTTCTACAATAATGCCGACGTTTGCAGCTGCGATGTGTACATATATTGCAGAATAACACGAGTGACAAATTTATCTATGCCCGCTCCCGTACTCATTAAGTATAAAATTGAAAATTATTTAACCACAAAGGCGATGGAATTAATTTTTGGTAACAAACAATTCAATGAATGTCGCTTAAACGATATAACGCCGACTTCTCGGAGTCAAAAACAACCACAAAAATGTCTCAATAAAATATTATGATATCGCTGACATTACTTATTAACTACGATTCGAGATAATATTTTGGTTCTCACAGTCAGTATTGCATCCAAAAATATGTAAATATAAAATGGATTAAGATTTGACTGTTACTCATTACAACATGATAAAATTAGGTTCCTAACACATTGAGAGAAGCCATGGAAACGCGCGACTGCATTTACATAAATGTATGCAAATGCGTTTTCCCCCTTCAAATAGAACATTTGGTGAATATTCCAGTTGGCCCGGCCGGGTCAGTCAATTTAGTTTTAATTTTACCATGTAAAGCCATATTAACCATCTACATTTTCAAGAATGCCAGTCGTTATCAACAAACTGATACGGCATGTCTTCTATATAATTTCGCTGATATTAATTACCCATGAAACGAGCAAAAATATGGCACTGTTGTATATTTATAGATATGGACAATTGTGAATTAAGATTAATTTCTTTCCTCATTTACCGATCGCTCAAATGCATAATTTACCAACTTCTACGTGAAGATATGTAAAAATATAATCAATACCTGTGCAGAAACGTTCAGAAAACCGGAAGAAGTAGCTTCCGATTCCGGATACGTGATTTCCGCAGCAAATTCAAATCCGATTGGCAGATAGCCCGTCATGAAAAACCTGAACACACAATACAAATAATAATGCCATATTGACCATGGATTTATTGTAGACAAGATTCATACCAGCCGTATTATTAAGTAGTATTGCATTTTTGTTATGGATATAATGATTTTACCACACAATGCATTTGACTTAAAAAATTTGAAATCAATAGCATAACTCGGTTTATTTATCTAAATACAACAGCATATATTTTTAATTACGGCTATTGATATTAACTGAGATCGAGACGAGGTCTATTCTTGGCTAGATAAAATTAACTCAAATTTGTTGCATTGTGAATCACTATTGAGCAAGGCAATTAAGACTACCCATTGCCTACATACCTATTTTTTACCAATCAGTAAGAACGGTTAAGTTCTCAAAGTTCAAACAATAGGGCAACATAATGAATATTACAGAAAACTACAATTCATAGTTCAATAGCAAGGCTCAAAAGATGAAAATACTCCTACCCTAAAACTCCAATGGTTAAATAGTCCAGCCATAATAATTTGAGTTGAAGAGTGAAGGTGAATACAAACATAAAAGCCATTGACAGTGCATAGATCACAACAGTTGTAACTCTGAAATCCAAAACACAGGATTAAGAAAGAAATCATATTACATAACTAACTGCTTCTAGTGTAACAGGCTTCAGGCAACAACAGGAGCTGATCAACCATTAAATATCCTCAGTATTGAAATGTGAGCTGAAGAAGTCTTGAATTTTCCACTCTTACTAACTTACAGAACAATGTGAAAAGTTTATTAATATTATAGCACCTGCCAAAAAGTAATTGTATGCTATTATCATGAAGATTTTGTCAATGCAGATACACAGACAAAAATTCCGATTTCGAGATTACAAAAGGGATTGCGAATCTATTGTTTCCAAGCTGAACACTACTGTATTTTTGGACTTTGAACTGTCTGTCATAGGAAACTGGTAATTGCCAAATCAAATACATAAAACACTTATGGTGCAAAAGTGTAAAAATCATTTGATTACAAAGTACACATAAATCATGTAAATCATGCTGTAAAAGACAATCAAATACAAATTTCAAATATTGTGGTAAAAGTTTCGGCAACAAACAAAGACGTAGTAAATTTCTTTGTTTGCAGAGTAAAGTTCAAACAAGAACAGAACAAAGGTCAAATTAAATCTAATTTAATTGAATGAGACATGTGAATATTATGTATCCTAATTCAATTATCTATTTTAGAAAATAAATATAATTCACTTACTTAAATAATTTAGTTCTATCTAAAAAGTAACCACAAAGAACAGAACCTCCGAGTCCAGCAACTACCATAGTTAAACCGATTTCACCAATAGCTTTGCCAGCATCCTGTTAAAAAATACCTTCAGTCAGTTCACTACATTCGTCGTAAAGTTACACTCTTAACTTTATGAATCTTACAATAAAAAGTGCTGCATACATTATAGTTTTAGTAGTTGTATATCTTTGTACAAGATTCACTAAATGGTTTGTTTATATTTTGCTTTGGGTCTGCACAAGATTGACTTCTCTATACATAAACACCAGCTTCATTGACAGTATTAAAAATATAGTCATAATAATAGCAATAATTTACCGGATGATAAGGCAACATAATTGGATTCAACAGTGTTCCAATTGCGTAATATGTTCCTGTGTTTATTCCTGGAATAATATTAAATGAATTACAGATATTACTAGAAATTAAAGATGTTGAAACAGTATTCAAATATTTATAATAAATCACAATTCCAGTGATTTTTTGGACAGTCCATGCCCAAACTGTTGGGTTCATTGAAATCCAATACAAATAGAGCTGTGGATAAAAGATAAAGTGGCAAGGTTCTAATATCGAATACAATATCAAAACACAGTTATTATCGTATTGAATCATGTTTGAAATTAAAAAACTCAATTCTTGGTAAAAATATGCCAGGTAAGTAAATCTTGATGACTGAAGATGAGTCAAGCATATATATTTTGCAATTTTAATGCTGATCGATTGATCAATACAACAGTCATGATAGATGAAATAGAAAAAAATAATTTTTGACCAGAAATGTACGAACTTACCATAGGTTGCCAAAAGTAACAAAAATGGAACGTTTTTCAATAAAACGCCCAATGATCGTTTGTAATTAGAAAGTGAATTCGAATGCGCTTCTTTATTAGAGAGTTCAGCTGCTACTGATAACTTTCTTGCAATGCTGGGCGGATGAGGAGGATGGTCACGAAATACTGAAATATAAGTGCAATTATGAAATAACTTATGAAAGATCTTCGGCAATACTATTAAATGTACACATGATAGGTTTGCAGTTGGATTGGCTCAATTACAGAGTCCACAAATAAGGATTGACATAATCAAAGGTATCAAATTTAATCAGCATTAGGAACAATCCAAGACATATTAAATTACACATAAGACAATTAGCATTCGCAGAATGACTAGATTTAAAATGGTTAATAAAAATAAGGTTAGTTTTATAGTTAATCCATTCAGTGAATTAGGGGTTTGATGCTCAATAATATAAATTCATTCTGAAGAAAAATTGATATTTTTATTGCCGGTTGTTATAAAAATGATACATCTACATTTTGTGTCAATTATAGTTTGGTTGCATCTTCTTTACCACAGTGCTAAATCAATATCTATAGACTTAGCACATTGGTGGCACTAGTTTGTTTCGTGTTGAATTTTCCTAATGGAAGTCGGTTCTTGCTTAAACTCGGTCAAATATAGTAGTCTTATCTAACATGAAACATATTTTTTTGAGATAGTAGATAACATATAGCAGTATAACAGTATGAACTTAGCCACAACCAGACCCTAATTATATTTGATATACTTACCAGCAAAGCTAATATTAACACTGCTGTACAGACGACTGCGCTACCAAATGAATAAAACTCTTAATTGATGTCCAACCAATTCCATGTCATCTGAATCAGGAACAATGACAGGAGGCAGAAGAAATCCAATGGCAACACCAAGCTTTATGTAATAATAACATATTTTAGTTCAGGAAATGGATACACTTATAACAAAGATATTAAATTATCAACATTGCATATGAGCATCATATACCTGATTCCCAAAAACTCCGATAGCTGTGGCAGTAGAAACTTCTGATGGACCAAACCACACAGATGCAACTTTAGGAGGAATTTCCAGCACAAATGACTGAGCACAGGCTGCAACTGTCTGACCTTAAATTGGACAAAGTAAACAATAATAATACAACATACATAAATATGATGTATTAAACAAAATTTCAAGTAGTTTAGCTGTTCATTTCTATCTAAAAAGTCAAGATGGATCTGCGTGTCATAAAGCAAATTCCTCACCTATAAATGAAAGAGCAAATAGATGAGGTTGAACACTCCCAATCTTGATCAATGACCCAACTGCATTCAAGGTTGCTCCAAATAACACAACTTTCCTTAGACCCCAGCGATCCAACATCCATGTTGCTACGAACATAAGTGGGATATATGATGCCATGTAAACCATAGAGGTCCATTGCACAGCAAGTTCACTAACTCCATAATATTTTGTAATAATGTTTGTTATAATAGCATATTCTATCCATTGAAAAGCACTGGACATAGAGTATACAGAAAATATCCCTAGCATCAAGAACCGTCGTTTATATAATCGTATTTCAGGATGGCCCTTGTGTGATTTTTGTTTTTTCTTGGTTTTAAATTCAACAAAGACATTATCATCTGCTTCCAACAGCATTTCCTCTTTGTTCTTCCCATTCTCCATGGTGATCTTAGATATAACTATAACAGAATACAGAAATATGATTTAGTAAAGACAAGAAGATCTATAGATAAAGCTGTTATTTATTATAGCTTTCGTTAAATAAAATATAAAATTACCAGGTCATTGTATACAAGTGTATATGAATGTTTTAATTCCAGCAATACCTAAATACCTCAATACAGAAAATAAACGCAGGCACAGAGCCACACTAAATGCAGAAGCGTGTAACGGTGTGTCGTATGTTATGCTCTTAATTAAAAAGTAGGTCCATGCAGTACGGTTCGTCTTTCTACAGTCTTACAGTTGGCACTAGCCTATATACTGGTATAGCTGTATAGTATTACTCTACAAGTATACACATACAGTATACACATACTGACATACAGACATAATATGTTCACTCCTATTGCAGCGAACAACAAAGGCTTTCTTGCTGATATGGCGTTCTCAACTCTCGGTCAAAGCGAGTTTTAAGCATTTAAACTGATAAGTGCATCGACTCCAAGTCGAATTTCCCGGCCTGAATGCAGCCAGTTGGGGACAGCAGAAGCATACCGGTATGCAAAAGTCACAAACTTGTAAGAGAAGAGTTTTAGAGAGAGATCGGTTTTATTTCTAATAGAAATCTTATCCATGATACACCACTCTGGATAAACTAATGAAAAATGAGAAAAAAATCCTACATAATTATCCCGGGGAAGTTCAGACAGACTCCAGCTTAGCAACACGTTGGCCTTTGTTGACGACAAAATTGCATAGATAAGTCTAAAGTTCACGCGAGATGATAACGTGCCGGCTATGGGTATCGTATATTCAGGCCAGGGCAGTATTTAAACATATCGCTCGTTGTGTAAGATTGATTTGTGGGAATAATTGATGAGTGTGCAGGAATATGAGAAACAACAGCTGAACGATGACTTTTTCTGATTCCACATACTCGCACATCAAGGGCGTTGTATTGACTGCTAGAAGTAAGTAAGTAATATTTACATATTTATCCCGGGAGAGAAGAAAGCCGATAAGACGGCTTTACCATATGGCGAACCAATGCCTCTCGCCCGGGTACCATTCCATGTCGGGTATGGCAATAGTTAGTTATTTGTTCTCGGAAGCATGGACTTGATGGTGGAGGAAGCCGTGACCGACCAGCGGTTACGTAAACCACCCTACGGCGGCGAGGAGTTCAGCAATCATTTCGCACATAACTATCCCCGCATGGGATTCGAACCTGCGAACCCACGCAGGGTAATCAGAGGTGCAGTGGCGAGTGTATTCCTAACGCTTAGCACGAAGAGCCACACCGCCGTATGCAGACGACCTCGCATTGTAGTAAGTTAATTCATCGTTGTGATGAACACCTCAATAGAAGATAATGAATACAATTAGCCTATGTATATTTGAAAGAGATTTTTCGTTATCGTAATATCCCCAGGGAGTCAGCAACCAAAACCACCCTGTGTTTATGTGCGAACTGCATGTATCATTCAAATACGGGCCGCCTTATCCCCAGATAGTCAAGTCAAGTGTATTTTATCCAACCAGTAAAAGAGTTCAGTGAGTTTTTATCTCCATTTTTGCACAAAGTTACAAATATTGTCTCTGGATATTGTAAAGACTTCTTTCGTAATTTAGTGAGAGATATTAATTTTTTAATATTAGCTATGCTTCGTTCAGGATGCGCAGTTAAATAAAGCTACAATCGAGACCTGAACATACGATGTTTATTTGATAAAATGGAACCGCCTTCGTCTAGTTTCATTGGCGAGTATGATACTTCTGAATCAGATTCAATGACAAGCATTTCTCTTTTAAACGGAATTAAAGCAGTCGTCCGGATCCTGCTTGCCGCAGGAAATGCACCAACGCAAGATAAATTAGTCGTTGCAAATTGAAGAACAATCACACATAGATGATAAATCCCACATTTTATCACTGTAAAGTCATGACGAACTATGGAAATGTCAATGGAATCGCAGAACTTCTGTCGCTAAACTATACTGATGAAATAATTAAAACGGTCCAGAATATACATCACGGCAATGGCATTAGTAAATGTCTTCAAATGGAAACCGTACATTTCGATCCCAATTGACTGCATTACAAACTTTATCATACAGAAAAGCACTGGGAATTTTCACGTGGAAGAAAAACAAACTGAAAATAAAATTCGGCCAGATGGTATGAAACATGTTATTCAATTTCTATGTACACATGAACAAAGTGCGATGATAGAAATATGCGTGAAAAGTGCACGAATTTTTGTACAAAATACGAGCATTCTCACCAAACGTCTTTATTTCGTTTCTCGTCCTATGTAGGCGAACTAGTATATTCAACAACATTTGGATACAGTGAAGGCGAATTTACGCAATTCAAAATGGCAAAACTATTATCCGGAGGTAAGGCATTATTATAAGAATTTGTCTGATATGTATGAAATGCACTTTACACCAAGTCGTACACGCCCCCCTTGTATTCCAGAAGAAATTAATTTTTGTGAAAACAAGCTCTTTCACATTTGTATAGCATCCCCAATTGATATCAATGGAGAAACGTCGGAGCATGTAGATATCAATCTATATTTTACTGGCATGTACGATCACGGACTTGGTGATAAAATCAAGGGTTTTGAAATATGTTCCGCATTACCTTGGAACGAACTGGAACTGAATATATTGAATATTAATTCCTTACCGACACCGGAGGGCTTGGTGACGCCTGACGTTGTTGTCAAGTGTTTTTCTTCAAAAAAGCTCCCGAATGCTATAATGGTGGTGTTTTACTTAATCATTGACGAAGACTTTCTATCTCAGAAAACAATTAAAGAAAGGTTACTTTTGTCGCAGACTATACAATCAAATTTATTGAATATATTCCGATTTAACAAAGTTGTAATTCATGAGTCATTCCTGCAGTCAGTAAAAGCATCTCTGAAATCGTACCAATCCCAAAGTGATGAAACTCGCAAAGTTGAAAACATTGAAAATGCGATCTCTCTCACCACAACATCAATTCGTGAGATTGTCGCGGCAAGTTCAAGCAATCTTTTCCGCAACACCTGTTTTGCTATGTTTGAAGTTGCAAACACGAATGACTTGGAAATAATGCTGAGCCAAAAGTTGCATGCCATCATCGATGTCAAAGCGGATCGCGGAAAGAAGCGAGCCAGGGATGAAGGCGCCGAGGAAGGATCAATCTCAAGTTTGGACGAATTGTCACAACACCTCATTTGAATTGTGAAAATAGTTGTGTAACAAAATGAGTGGAAAAGCTCTTAGTTTACAAAGCGTATTCAGTATGAAAGGATTCTTCTTATCACAACCAGAAGAAAAATCGAGACATGCGGCTATTCTATTTTATTAAAGGTGCAAGTTTCAGAATTCCGAAGCGATTCGAATCAATTTTTTAAAATACGCGTTGAATGTGTTTAAAAAAGTTAACAATTTCAATAACTAGCAAGTGTTTTAATTTAAATGTCTGGGATTTATGTTATACAAAATAAGGTATTCATAGCTGATTTTAGCGGAAAGATTACATTGTGGGAAATGCATGAGAATACTTTTCGAGCGTAAGTAATGGCGCTTCTCGCATGTAATACTATCGTTTTAATCATTCTTCAGTTCATTATTATAATACCAAACTAACCTACAGTCTTTCGAAATTTAAGTAAGAGGAAGATTTTATTATTACAAACAAAGTCAATGCTATGGTACATTTAAGTCAGAACGGAAAATACTTTGATAGTATGGGGTTGATCGTTATTTTGTTTGGATTCGTATGCAAGATGTTCACCTAAAGGCCATCTTGCGAAGTTCTGAGGTCGGAGAGGCAGCGGTATTAATTTTGTTTGGTTCCATTACATTTGAACCCACGTACATTTGAACCCATGGCAATTGCACCTGTATGCTATTGCACCTATGGATTTTTTTTTGTTTTTCGGATAGTTGAACCCACACTCACCCTAACCCATGGGTTTTAGCACCCGCATATAGATTGAACCCGTGCATATACACATGGGTTCAAATGTACGGTCACCTTTTGTTTTTGTACTGAAATATTCACCGGGCTCATATACAGGGACTAATGAAAATACAGTTGGATTATCACAGATTCAACAATTATATAAAAAGATAAGATGTAAAGCATATATTACTGAAATTTATCTTTCCATATTTAACTTGGCAATCGATATATAGCAGTAATATAATGTCCAAAACATTCAAATATAATTATAGAAAGTTGAAAGAGACCTATGACATTTTAACATATACAGTATTGTTTTAATATATATATCGTATATATAAATACAATATCCTAATACAGGGTGGTTCAAACTGCCGTAACCGTTTGTTGAAGTCACGGAATTTCAATGTTGTATCTATAAACGTCAATATGCGAATGGCGTATTGTGATCGGTACACGGAGAATGAATTGTCTTGTGCAGACAGGACCAGGCCGATGAGATGAGTCGCGCTTTTTATCTAAACTTCGTACCTTAAGCTCGCGTCAAGTAACTCCACATTTGGAGAGAACTTTTCTTTTAGTAAAAACACTCCTCTATTTTCAAGCGTTTGCCATGTAACAGCAGTGACGAAACGCAGAGCTGACTTATCGCCGCACGTTCCATTTTTTTTCAGCTGGGTCCGGAGTCCCAACTTAGGCGGACTTGGTTGTTCTTTGACGATAGCGCCAAGCCTTCTCACGCTAAAAGTAATAAGATTATTAGTCAAATATAACAATTCATCATACAAGAAGTGTAAAAAAAGGTGATCGAGGTAAACTGGGAAGAAACGTGTTCCCCTACCCACCAATAACGGTAAACCACCGTGTCTGGGGTGTCTTTTCAAGTAATATAATATCTGTCACGAAGGAATATAATTTTAAGCGACAATACAAAACCAAATACGAGAAAAGATACCGAAAATACCACGGTATTTCTCGGGAAGCAATGTTAAAACAAAATCTAAATTAAAATCTATCTTCCTTAAAAACTTATTAGAACACCAAACTCTCATTCTTAAATATATTTAAAGTGAGTAAATGCGCGATGTTTTGATCACTTTTGGGTTTTCTCCGAATGCGGCTCGCGAGACATCCTCGAAAGTGTTTGCGGCTCTCCAACCTTGGACCACCCTGTCCTAATACATTGAGTATTCAGCACATTTTAATATATATATAGACTAGAAAAGTGCCTATACTACTTTTTTGTCGATACCAACGAAAAACGCCGATATTCCGATGCTATGTACGAGTATTACCAGGACAGACAGGATAAAATAGTAGTCTGTGGGTGATATTTATAGTGCACATTCAGTGCATAATCATATATTATATATTCCAGAACACGAGAAATTCATGTCTGTGATCCGGTGACCGTACATTTGAATCCATGTACATTTGAACCCATGCGTATATTCACGGGTTCAATCTATATGCGGGTGCTAAAACCCATGGGTTAGGGTTAGTATGGGTTTAACTATCCGTGAAACAAAAAAAATTCCATAGGTGCAATTGTCATGGGTTCAAATGTACGTGGGTTCAAATGTAATGGAACCCTGTGATCCAGATGCATTGTGCACCAACGCTAGGAATATCAGTGTTAGAATAAAAAACTACTATGAATGGTAAAAAAACACATGTGTACTTATCCGCTTAAACTAATACATTGAGTTGCGTGCGCAGGATTTTGGGCCAATATGATGTGATCAATTGTATTTTACACATTGGAAAATCCCCTAAAATTTGATTGATATTTTTCTTTATAATTACCACGTGATATACAATATTAAAATTTGGCAGAGAAAATAGTCAAATAAGTTAAGAAATTTTAGCTGATAAATAGCTAAAAACAGGTCAGAATCTGGTTCCCATTTCTTCTCGCGAGGGTGGGGACGGGCAGGGAACAAAACGAGGCAGAGGCCGTAAACATGATGCTCTCGTGCTGGCAAAAAATAATTTCAGCACTCGTATACTAGCTTATCTTCTGAAACATTCTAGATTAGATCAAAAAGACAAACACATGCTAACACAAGGTATTTAGCACCATTAGACAAATCTGAGCACTCCAATGTTCTTATTGGGCAACCCTTTTTCAAGTGAAAGGTTCGAGTATAAGCTCCAAAATTGGACACACAATTCCGACAGCTGTACGATTTCATCTTACTAATAGTAACGCTGCGACTTATACGCTTATATATAACGCTGTTATATATATATATATTTGACTTTTCTCGGAAGGCAATTGCTGAGTCCAGCAGAACTAAGAATGCTATATATATTGTATACTTTCTATTTTACAAGAACTTGTGCCTTTTTAAATTTCTTTCATCCTACTCTGTTTCCCTGATAGTTTTGATTTGAGCTGTTCCATGCATCTGTCCCAAGGATATTTCCATGTATATATATATATATTTCTTGTCGCGTGAGTGCAACTCGTTTATCAATACTTTCCGGTGCAGACTTGTGGAAGCGATACGAACATAGATCACCGTTTATGAATTTCACACTGTTCGCGGATGAAATTTAAAATCATAGCTCTTTATTCTAGATATTTGGAGGAATAATAAACTTTTTGTGGAGGACTTATATTTGCGAAAACAGAAAAAGCACTGAAATATATTAGGGAAGGGGGCGGTGTAGTTAATACAACCAGAAGAATTTGGATTTAATAAATCATTTGTTTTCTTTTATTTTCGTGTTTAAAAATGAATTTTGAACGAATGCTTTTATTACTTGGCACAAAGTATGATAAGTATAAGTATAAGTTTATTTCGACTCCATAATCAGCATAACAATACATTTGACAGATAAAAACAAATAAATAAAAACTGGTTATGAAATCAGGGGAGCAAACAAAACCTTAGATAAGGTTTATAACGTACAAAATATAAGATGGTAGGTTTTGCCAAGAGGAAGTGGTACGTGTTTACTCACCTAAGATAAGATAGCAATTACATCCCGGGGGAGATGAAAGCATATATGGTGAACCACTGTCTCTCGTCCTAGCCAGGTATTTGTTTCATATACACGTACTTGACGGTGGGTGAGGTCGTAACCGACAAGAAGCGGTTACTTAAATCACCGTACGACGGCGAAGAGTCCAACAAATCTCTTACACGTAATTATCCCACGCCGGATTCGAATCTGCGAACCCACGCAGGGTAATCAGGGGCGCCGCACCACAGAGCCAATTTTTCGTTCGCTTTATTAACAAATCTTTTTTCGATAAATTAAATTCTCATAAAAGTAGGTTTTGTTGTCTTTGCCCAGAACGTTTTCACACAAATTGCAGGATTCATTCAAGCAATACAAGATACGCAGACTTGCCCATGGCCATGAGACATATATTTTTTTTTCTGTCCCATTCCATAGCAATTTATGCCTGTCCCATTCCATGGGATTCCCATTGGAACAAAATTTAATGAAAATTGTTAAAATTAGGTTTAGCGTTTACTAAATGGGAGAAGAGACATGCGAAACAACAGAATTTACTGACTTTATTAACTTTAAACTCAAACTATTAAATTATGTGTCCATCAGTCCCTTCACAAAGTATATATATATATATATATATATATATATTGTGGATGTTAAATAGATTTTGCTGTTTATAACTAACAAGAGAGCTATGCCCAAATATATGGACACGAAGTCCATAACGAAATGTTTCACTATCATTTTCCTGAAAATCATACGCTATTTCGTGTCCCATGGGAAATACAAATTTGTGCTGTCCCATCCCATATTCTCATGCACAAGCCTGAACATACGAAACTTAATGACTCGAAGTCGGCACTGTAGGTAGCCGTATGATATCTTTCTTACATGGGTGGTGACTATCCAATCGCCCATGGGTCATCGTTTTGCCTAGCAGCTTCGATCTGGTAATTATGTGTAGTTTCAATAGATTCTATATATCCAAACAAACAGAAAATGTACTGAACACTCATATTGCTGATGTAGAACAAGAGTTACGTATGTCCCATTTTGACATTCTGAGAAAATAATCTTTAAAGTTTTTTTCGGGGGGTAAATTTTTGATGAAAACGAATTTATTTTTGCATATCTGCATAAAATTTTTGGTTTAATCTGGTTGTTGCATTTTCTAGAATTTTCTTTTTTTTTTGTAATTCTTCGTTTATTTTTTAACACTTGTTTTGGACATAAAGTCTCCTTTGCACGAAATTATTTATTTTTATCTTTGTCGCTGGTGTGACTTAAGGCAACAGCTCTTACTCATCACGTGCTTAAAACCCAGTAAACACTAATATATGGTGCATTTTATGATAATAAATGATAAACATGCAATTAAGATAGCCCAAACGAACTGTATCAACTATTCTGAGATCTCTCATTCCACAATATATTTCTTTTTTCTTTTGTCTTCATTGGTAAATGACTATCATCAGTTACATTTGGTGCGCCATGCTTACAATATTAAAGTTCAAGATTAGTTCTCCATTTGATAAAAGAAA